AATCACTCCCGGGCCTGCTCCTATGTGGCCTGGACCCTGTCTGCAGGGAGGGCTCCAGGTCTCAGGTTCTCAGAGGTCCAGGGGAGGCCAATGGCTTCTTCTACCAGATTCAGAACATCCAATCTAAGGGTTGTCATTGTCCCCCTCACCACAGGGCATTGGCTTAGAGGTGAGTTAGTCAAATGTTCCACAGACGGAGGCTTCCCAGTCAGGTCAGTTTGAGAACTGGGAGTGAATAGGTTCCTTCCCTGCAGGACCTTTCATGACTCTTTGTAATGGACTTTGTGAATCTCCCCCAAATCATGCATTCCTCAGTGTTTCCAAAACTCCTTTTTTCAAATGAATGTTTCATGATATGTATGACATACAAACACACTTTCCTTGAAAATTAAAAAAAATCACAAATTACAGTTAAACTTACAAAGCTACTAACCAATGCTTCTCTCCCCAGAAATGCCACATCCACTTCCTCTGAGGAATCAACTCTTGTGACCTTGGTGTGGACTCTTACAAACCTTTCCCCATGAACTTACACTCACACCCATGTAGTAGGCAGGCATCCACAGAAGACACTGAGGATGTGTGTGTGTGTGTGTGTGTTATATATGTGTATTGTATTTTTCATTCTATAGAAGAAGCTTTTTACACCCAACAATGTATCTTTGCAGCCAAGTTCATAGTAGTACTGAATCTTGACCTCCCTCTTCTAAGCAACGCTTGGAGCACATGGTATAGATGGCAGTTCCCTTTTGGATGAATGTTTAGATTATTTCAAATACATAGGGGAACCTTTTTTCATGGGAAATGTTAGCAGACCTATGATTTCTTCTAACATGCCTTGGAAAATACTGAGTTGGAAAATACCATGAACCCTCACTGTATAAGATGTGATCAAAAAGCAGAATGAATGTTTAAATTTTTAAAAAATTACCTCAGTAAAAGATACATTGCCATTAATACCCTCAAAATACTCCTCTCACTTCCAGTGTACTCATCCCATCATTCTTGCCACTTTCTAAAGCACTTCTGGAGCCAGCAAGGTGGTGCATACCTGTGATCCCAGCACTTGGGAGGCTGAGGCAGGTAGATTGCTGTGAGTCTGAGCTCAGCCAGGGCTACATAGTGAGTTCAAGGCCAGCCTGAACTAGTGAGACCCTGTCTCAAGAAAAATAAGTAAATAAACAAACAAATAAACACTTCTGGAAGCCCTCTTTTGTGAGTATCTTTAGGAGGTGTGATCAAAAATACCATGAAGGCTGCTCTCTATTGCCATCCAATGGAAATGCATAAAGACATCACGGTGTCCTCACCCGCCTTATTCACCAGCTCTGGTACCATGCAGCTTCTGGCTCTTCCCCAAAGTCAAAAGGACCATGAACCATCAGTGTCTGGAATAGATTCAGGGCATCAAGGCAGCCACGACAGTGCAACTACAGGCATTCACCAGAGGACTTCCTGAACTGCTTCAGGAAGTGATAAGAATGGCGGGACATGTGTGTCTGTGTTCAAAGTGAGGGGGAATGTTTTGAGGCAGACTAATTGCAATGTGTCTTTTACAAGAAATATTTTTCATTTAAACATTTATCATTTATTTTGATCACCTGTTGTACGTGGAGGGGAAGAGTCAGTCCAGCACCTTCTAGTATGTCCCAGGCCAACGGCAAAGGGTACAACTCAAGAACCCTGGATCCTTGTGCTGGCTCTGCCCTTACTGTGGCATTAAGCATGTTCTCTCTGGGCCTAGTCCATGGCACACAGGGATAGGTAAGGTGCTCTTGGGCATCCTTCTCAACAGGGCTTCCCTGGCTCCTCACACACACAGACTGATCTTCTCCCATTTCCTCTCTGCAGGGGGCTAACAGCAGCAGCAACCCCCCGGGGCTTGTGGAGGGTGAGTATCTGGCAACAGATGCAGGGAAGTCACCCGACATGAAGAGGATTAGGTTAAGTTCTGGGTCAGAGCTGGAGACCCAAATCCCCGACTTAAAACCATCCTTGAAAGTGCCTTGAATCGCCCATAAAGTCCTTTGCCAAGCTCCTCATGTTTCTACAACACTGACCGGTAACAAGAACAAAACCCTGTTAACTGTAGACCCCGGAGCCGCACCCAGCACAGTCAGATAGTTACTCATGAGACAGACCCATCAGTGGGCACAGAGCTGGGGGCCAGGAGCGGCGTGAGGATACTCAGGCCGTGATCTGCTCAGACAGAGCCTCTCGTTTGTGTGTCTCCTTCCCCGCAGGTGCCGAGGACTTCATTGTGGTTGCCCTGTATGATTACGATGCCATTCACAGAGAAGACCTCAGCTTCCAGAAAGGGGACCAGATGGTGGTCCTGGAGGAGTGAGTCTCCATCTCAGTCCCCCTAAAACATATACCCCTTCCCGACTCAGTTATGCCTTCATTTGTGCTTCAGTAAAGATGGCGCATGCTTGCAGTCTCAGTAATTGGAGGCTGAGGCAGGAGGATACAAGTTGGAGCCCAGGTTGGGCTAATAGTGAAACCCTTCTTCAAAAACAAAACCAAAAAGAAAACCTTATAGGCTGTCTTAGACTGAGGGTAAATGACTGATGAATCCTGGTCCTCATAGAAGGTTTTGCTGTCACTAGGGAGAGGCCAGCAGCATGATGGGGACTGTGCACATATGAACAGTGCAGTTCCAGGCAGGGACGAGCAGGCAAACCACTTGCCAGGAAACCTTCCTACAGCCCAGTGATTTAGCTAGAGGTTTCCCTGTGGGCCAGGCCCTGTTGAGTGACTTTGTTGAAGTCTTTGAATCTAGCCAGGAAAGGATCAAAACTTTGAGGCCAGCCTGAGCCCCTTAGCAAGATTCTATCTTAAAAATAAAAAGCACAGTGATAGAGTGCTTGCCTAGCATATGTGACTCCCTGCGTTCTATCCCCAACCCCACAGAAAGAGAAACCCTTGGATCTCTGTGTCTGCACCTCTGATCCCCCTCCAGCCCTGGCCATCAGTGGGTCCAGCAGCCAGGAGGTGCAGGGGCTCAAGGGTTGGAGAAGTTGTGCTTGACCAGGCCCTTGAGCCCTCTAGCTCCTCCTCTCAGCACCCCAGAGCCACTGTGCGTGTCCCATGGGCACAGCCCCTGCCTTGGGCCCAGCTGCTCAGCAAAGCTGCAAGCCCAGGAGAGAAGAGCATGGCCAAGCACCCGGCCACAGGCAGAGTCTCTGGGACAGGGTTCAACTCCAGGTGCTCAGTGGAGGCTTTGCCAAGATCCCGCTCCTAGTCACGGGGCCTGGACCAGGGCGAAGACAGTCATGCCCCTGCCCCTGCCCCTGCTCCTCCTAGCTCACTGGGAGTGGGGAGCCCAGGGGCCTGGAGAATAGGCCCTTATTACCCTGATCTTCTCTCTGTCTCCTGTCCCTCAGGTCAGGGGAGTGGTGGAGGGCACGATCCTTGGCCACCCAGAAAGAGGGTTACATCCCAAGCAACTATGTGGCCCGTGTTAATTCTCTGGAGACAGAGGAGTAAGTATCCATTTCCTACCTGCCAGGGAAGCATGAGCAAAGCCAACCCTGTTCCTGCCTCAGGACCTTTGCATGTACTGTCTGCCCTCATATCACACTCTTCTCAGAGATCATGGCTTGGTTGACCCCTCCCATGCTTCAGTCCTCAGAGCCTTCCCTGCCTACCTGTCCAAGGTGGATCCATCTGCAACTCTCCCTTGTGGAAGTATGTTTTATTCCTCCAAACACCTCTAACTAGCAAAAATCATCTTGTTTCTTTGGCTGTTCACACATGCATTGCTTGCTCCCCGACAAAAATGAGAGCTCATCCTTGGTTTTAGTTTGCCTGGGTCTGAATCTTGCCTTTACCTATCCAAGCTAAATGACCCTGGGCAAGTTACCACCCTCTCTGTTCCTCAGTTTTCTCATCTATAAAATCAGAATAATGAAGGCAACAATTCTATAGATAATAAGAGTTCAATGAATATTAGCTGTCTTTCTCTCCAGAGGAAACAGAGGCCCAGAGAGGGAAACCAACTTGCTTGAAGTAACACAGTGTGTTTCCAGCAGGGCCAAGTCCTGCTAACATCTGTTCCAGGGCTTTGTATGTCACAGCTCCTCATCTTAGTGTGGGTAGGAGTGGATTCAGCTGCTGCTACTTGAACTTTTCTACCCAATATCCCAAACATCTGGGAAGAATGAAGGAAGGTTCCCAGGATATGATCCAAAGTTTAAAGTTCTCTGCAGTCTCACATTGTGGTGTAGAAAGTGGTGCTGACTATGTATTTGCCTATGCATATGCACAGTATTGTGTAGGAAGCTAAGCAGGCTCAGGCCTTCACTCCCACAGGCCTCCGTGGCCCTGAGAGGGCTCTTCCCCAAAGTCATGTGTGCTTGTGAAACTTGCAGATTTGAGATGTGTGACCATGATGAGCTAAGACAGCTGCCCATCTTTCACACCCAGAGGTGCTGGAAGGGCCCTGAGCACTTTGCATTTGTAATGCTGCATTATTTTTCTTTTAAAATAATTCTCTCCCCAAGTTGCACAGGTTTCAGTCTCAGCAAGCTGGATTTGCCTTCAGTAAATGTCTGCTTTGACATGAAAGGAATGACTGCTCTCTAAAAAAAAAAATCTTAGAGGAAAGTGATGCAGCCTGAAGCCAGGCCCTCACCCTCCTGATCCCCTCCTGGGTTCCAAGGGGCCACAAGTGCCCTGTCCAGCCCACCCCTTCCCCCAGGTTGACGTGTGTCCCCATCCCCCCCTGTCAGGTGGTTCTTCAAGGGCATCAGCCGGAAGGATGCAGAGCGCCAACTCCTGGCTCCTGGCAACATGCTTGGCTCCTTCATGATCCGGGACAGTGAGACCACCAAAGGTGACACCAGCCTCCTTGCTTTGTCCCACCCTGTGGGGTGCCCCAGGCTTGCCACCATCTCTCCCTTGGAAAAAGCTCTGGGAAGGGCTGGACATCTCAGCCAGGTGGCCATGGCCACCATGTTTTCTCTTGCGCTTTGCCACTTTGAGGCAGGGAGAGCTGAGAGTCTGTGCTCAGCTTGGCCCCTCTCAGCCCCTGTAGTTGCCAGCTTGGTCAGTGGCAGTAGTCTCAGGTGATTTGAGCCCTGAAAACAAATACTCTGATGAAACCCATTGTTCTTTACTAGCTTGTATTTTTAAAAAGTATTTATCGCAGTCTATCTTATCCACAAGCCTGATTCCTCTGTCTATAAGACAATGGGGCAGAATGAGACTGCAGAAAGACCCCAGCCAGTCTCCTCTGAGACTCTGCTTCAAATGCTCCTTGGACGTATTTGGAAGCCTGATGTCAGGAGCAGCTTCCTGAAATCCCTGTACTGGGAGGGCAGCAGCTTGACATGGGAGGTGGGTGGCAGAAACAGTGCCTGAAAACCATATGGAGTAATTCAAACTGGCATCAGTTGAGGCTAATTTTCCCAAGGGAATGAACACCAACAAGTGTGTCAGTGCTCATTAAAATAGATATAATATAATATAATGAGTAGGCTCACGGTGGGGGCCTGCAGAGTCAGGTGTGGAAGAGCACAAAAAGGCTGTCCATGTGCTGGAGAGCGAAGCGTACAGTCAAAAGTCAAAGGCCTTGGTGCTCACTGTAGAGTCCTGTGTAGGTCCATATCAGGAGCTGAAGAGTCTGCACCGGAAACCAGAAGACAAATGTCCAGGGTGCAGACTGGAGCTCCTCCAGAGAAATAGAAGCAAGCCTTCCTTCTTCCTTCCCCTTTTTATTTTTTTTTCCTTCCCCTTTTTATTCCACTCAGGCTACAAGCCTAATGGTTGGTGCCACTCATACCCAGGATGGGCCCTCCATCTTCAGTAAATCCATTCAGCCGCACCCAGAACACTGCTAGCCAATCAGTAGAGTGTTTCTTACTCAGGGTGACACAACAGTTAACCATCACAGTGGGATTCTCCTGATTTCAGACTTCACATGCAGAGTGTTTGTGTCACACGTACATGTTTAGATTCAGAACTGATTCATTCAAATAAGTAAGTTGTAGAAGTGCGCCCTCATGGTACCCTGAAGCAGACTATTTCAGGGACATTGATCAAAGGTGTCATTGTGGCCTTCTATTTGATCCATGGCAAAGCTCGAATATGGCTAGGGCAGTGTCACTCACAGTGGTTCAGTCAGTCAATGTTCAGGTGTTAAATCCTCTCACCCAACGAGCCCCCTTCCAGCTCTGAGGAAAACAAACAGAGACAAAGAGGCAAAGCTACATGCAGCTCAGCACTCCCCTCCACCTGTGCCCAGGACACCTGGGGACAGGCTGGTGCATCCTGCAGACAAGGGCAGAGAAACCATGAAACCTTCACCAGCCTGTGGAGCAGGAAGTGAGCGCGGCCCAGGTTTCATGGCCCTCCACCGTGGGGGTGGTGAAGACAGCCAGTTTAATAAAATGTGCAGCATGAGGCCCCTGAATCCCATCCTGCGGCCTCTTGGATTCTGTCCACTCCATTGGGCATCGGCCAAGGCAGCCTCTTCTTGACGGGGGCAGAGTGGGTAAGAAGGGGCCCTGGAGCTGGTGGCTGTGCCACTTCTTAGCTGTGTGACTATAGGTGAGTTACTTCACCTCGCTGGGGATCAGTCACTGTATCTATAAAATGCAGGTGGTAAGGCCAGGTCTGGTGGTCCACGCCTGTAATCCCAGCACTCAGGAGGCTGAGGCAGGAGGATTGCCATGAGTTCCAGGCCTACCACACTACATAATGAGTTCAAGGCCAGCCTGGAGTAGATAACAAGACCCTGTTTCAAGAATGAAAAACAAAAATGAGAACGGTAATGTTATAAAACTTCTACCTCAGGGGATTATCAATTCATTATAAAATTATTCATATAATTCTAATTTATTATAATAAATATTCCTTCACACAGGGAACTTAAAATACAGTAGTCTGGCAACTATTATTCATTCCATGATTTAAATTTCCCCCAGTTCTATGGCATTGTGCTATCACGGTAGAGAATAATAAATGAAAGAGAAGCTAGTGACCTGTCCACGGGCACACAGCCTCAAAGGGCAAATAGGTGTTTCTATGACATCCTACACGGTCATATGTGCACTGGGTTCCTGTTACTGCTGTATCACACTGCTACGAATGTGCTGCCTTTTGTACAGGCCTCAGCCTCCCTTGGCTCACAGACCTTCCTGACGTTTCCAACCCCTGATTTCCATTTCCACCCCTCCTACTATGAACTTCGGCCTTGTCTCCTTCTGACAATGTAATCCGAGTGATTACATTGGGGTTAGCCAGATAATCAAGGATAATCACAACTCTGGATCCTTTACTGAAACTCCCTTTTACCATGGAGGTTAACATTCCCAGGGGTTGGGTATGGACATCTCGGGGACCATTATTCAGTCTATGACAATGTGTTCACATTCCAGTAGTTGGACTGGATTTTCTTTACTATTTATCGTTTTATTTAGAGAGATAAGTAGATAGATGATAGATAGATAGAAAGATAGATAGATGATAGATTGATGATAGATAGATAACAGATAGGTAAATAGATACTGTAGACAGATGGAGAAATAATTATGAAGATGATGAGACAGCAAATATTTACAGAGCATTTGTCTCAAGTCCTTTTCAAGCTTTATTTCTAATCATCAAGTAACATGATGAGGTAGAGAGGTATGACTATGCCCATTTTACGGGTAAGGAAACTGAGGCATAGAGAGGCAACATAGTCACTGGCCCAATGTCTCACAGCTGGAAATGGCATAGCTAGAACAGAACCCAGGCACCCGATAACACAGCCCAGTCTCCCTCTCATGTTCTTGTGTTCTCCTGCCCTCATGCCTGGGTGGTACCAGCAGTGACCTCCCGGGGGTCAGGAAAGGGTGTCAGGGGGCTGGCATGAGCTTGAGGCCCCAGAGGTGCCATTCTGAGGGGCTTCTGTCTTGTGAATTCAGGAAGCTACTCTTTGTCTATTCGAGACTACGACCCTCAGCAAGGAGATACAGTGAAGCATTACAAGATCCGGACCCTGGACAATGGGGGCTTCTATGTCTCCCCAAGGAGCACCTTCAGCAGCCTGCAGGAGCTGGTGGCCCACTACAAGAGTGAGTCCTGCCCAGGTCCACCTTCCACCTATCTAAGCCCAGAACCCACACTCACTGAGCAATACTGCCTGGGGAGGGACACGGACACTACTCCATTGCTTTTAGTCTTCAACGCCTATATTTTGCTTTGTTTTTTGCTTTGTTTTCTTTTGAGGTGCTGGGATTGAACCCAGGACCGAGACTGTGCTAGGCAAGCACCCTACCACTGAGCTGTGTCCCCCAGCCCATACATCCCCACAGAGATGGGTCTGTTTCCCAGAATCCTGGTCACAGGTGTACTGCAGCCCCAAGGCCTGCAGAATGTGCCTGGTCCTCTCCAGATGATCGGCTGCTTTGGGTTTTCCTGAAGGCTTGGGCTTGTCGAGCAGGAGGGTGGCAGCCAAGATGTAGAGATGACATCCTAGCGTGTGCCGTCGTGTGTGTCCCTGATGGTGGCAAACACGTAAAACATTGGCCAGACGCAGGGTACCAGACAAGAGGCCTCTGACTGACTTGGAGCTCATTGCCCGTAAGTAACCCAGAGACTCTGTTCCAGAGGGGAAGGATGGGCTGTGCCAGAAGCTGTCAGTGCCCTGCATGTCCTCCAAGCCCCAGAAGCCATGGGAGAAAGACGCCTGGGAGATTCCCCGGGAATCCCTCAAGCTGGAAAAGAGACTTGGAGCTGGGCAGTTTGGGGAAGTCTGGATGGGTAAGAACCCAGGGACAAAGGAGGGGGGAGGCTGGGGGGCGGGAGGGAGGTCATCTGCTTCCAGAACACCCCAGACCAAGTGGGAATGCCACTGGGCTGTAGGGGCATTTGAATAATAACCACAAAGGAGCAAGTCTTCGATAGCAAAGCAAATTGTGCTGCTGTGTAAACACGGATTTGCCTTTGTGGCCAGGAAGGTCGGGTCTGGCACCGAACTTCCGTCTAGGAATTGAGAGTCCCAGATAAGGAATCCCCTCCCCTGTATGGAGTTGGGACAGTCTACCAGGGTGGAGTTGGAATAACCAGAACCCTCTGGGGGAAATGGGATTTAGCAGTAGGCCAGTGCAGCTTGGAGACTTCCAGGTGAGTTCAGTGCTGGCAACTGAGGACAAAGCTATTCTGAGCCCATCATGTGCCCAGCACCATCCAGACATTGTGGGGCACCAAAAGGCACGTTCTGCTCCTGCTATCCTTGCTCCAGTAACTTCAGAGTGGCACATTTGCTTTGCAGGGTGGTTCGCAGGCACAGTGCTGCTATGTTGCTACTCTAATGGGTTAATAATATCTCTCAGTTATTGCAGAGTGATCAGGCCCGCAATCTCCCAAACAATTGGACAGTGAAGGCTTACATAAATGAGACAAGAAATATGATTTTAGGGCTCCAGAAGGTTCAAAACCCTCTAACAGAATTCCACATTCTTTGGGGGATAAGACAAAGAACTTCTCTGGGCAGCCTGTATTTATTTGGTTTTCAAACAGAGGAGGGGAATACTGAAGAAAATGCAGGAATCTTAGCAGGACCTTGGGAAATATTTTCCCAAGTAGTAAATTTTGTGAACCAGGAGAACTACTTTATCTGCAGGTTGGTATTTATTGTATGAGTGTGGCGCCTGCAGCTGCAGTCTCCTTTTAGTTAATTGGGGTTGGAGCCAGGCATCCTCAGTTGTGGCCTTAGACAAGGGTCCTAGGCCTTGCACAGGCTCACGAGTAAACATGGAAAGCAGATTGGTTAATATTAAATCCTGCTCAGAGCTGCTTCATAGTGGCCTCCATCAGTGCTCCACAGTGAGCCCAGTGGGAGTGAGGACGGCGCGCAGGGCTGCAGACATTCAGCCAGAGAAATAAGCTTAAAACCCACCTAGTTCAACCACTGAACCCACCTAGTTCACACACTCATTGAGCACCTGCTGTGTGCCAGGTACTGAACACAAGAATGAAGCAGAAAGAAAATAAGGAGAGGAAGGTAGGACAGAAGTAGGTAGTGAGTTTGGGAAAACTATCCCAGACCCTGGACTCTTACTATGGGAAGATCACAGGTCTGGGTTAGAGCTTCCTGGAAACCACGGCACAGATGAAAACCAGAGCACTTATGAGACTGACAAGATTCAGAAGACAAAGCACGGGGCACGGTGTGTGTGTGTGTGTGTGTGTGTGTGTGTGTGTGTGTGTGTGTGTGTGCCAAGTCCATGTGGTGAAACAGGGCTGGGTAATGAGTGCCTAGAAGGCAAGGGCAAGTCTGGCAGACGATGAGGCTGGCGTGGTGGCCTTGGCTGGATGATGCAGGGCCTTCTGGGGCACAGTGAGTCTGGTATTTATTTCAAGGTCAGTGTTAAAGTAAGTGTGTGTGTGTGTGTGTGTGTGTGTGTGTGTGAGAGAGAGAGAGAGAGAGAGAGAGAGAGAGAGAGAGAGAGAGGGGAACCTAAGTGTTGTTTTAAGGTTATTTTTCAATCTTGCATCTGCCCTTCAAAGGAAGTGCTTATCATCTCTGCTATCCAGGTGAGGAACCCGTGGCTCAGGCAGGTTAAGTGACTTGCCCAAGTGCACACAGCTTGGAAGTATGGGAGCAGCTGTATACCCCACACCCATGGGAGACCCCTGTCTGTCCCTTCCTCTTTTTTTTTTTTTGTTTGTTTTTCTTCCAGTACCAGGAATCGAACTCACAAGCTTGCACTTGCCAGGCAGGCGCTGTGCCGCTGAGCTAAATCCCCCGCCCCTGTCCCTTCCTCTCTAAGGCAGAAGGAGAGCTCTCTGTGAGAGGTGGGTGTACAGCCAGCCTTCCAGGATAGGGGAGGCCTGTGGGTCCTAACCACCTTCCTTGCTCCATCTTCTCCAGCCACCTACAACAAGCACACCAAGGTGGCGGTGAAGACAATGAAGCCGGGGAGCATGTCTGTGGAGGCCTTCCTGGCAGAGGCCAACATCATGAAGACACTGCAACACGACAAGCTGGTCAAGCTGCACGCCGTGGTCACACAGGAGCCCATCTACATCGTCACGGAGTTCATGGCCAAAGGTGCATGGGCTGGGGCCAAGGCCAGCTGTGGGCATTCCCAGTCCAGCTGGCAGTGCCACCAGGGCATCCCCCTAGGCACCAGCAGCCCAGCCTCCTGCCTCGCCTTAGGGTGAATCATGTAAAGGATCACCGAGGAAAGGGAGAACTTGGGGCCACTGGGAGAAGGGAGTGGGGCCAGAGGGCCCTGGGCGGCGAGAGAAGAGGCACAGGGATTCCTCACAGGCTCACCTCGGTCTCAGAACCAGGGGTCTCCCCTCCGCACCGCTGAGCTCCTTTCTCTACAGTCTTGGTACACTGGGAAAGAGTGCAACCAAGTCAGCAACAGCCACCACACCCTGTCCAAGTTCAGCTCATCTCAGAGGTTTTCTTTCCAGGCTACTTTTCACAACCATTTTCAATCTCTGCCTATTGTTTGATAAAGAGAAACATCCCACACAGTTTCACTGAGTGGGATTTGAAATCTTAAAATTCCATTTTCTAAATGTACATTATGCCAGCTTATAAAGCCATGCCCCTAGACCCCTCAGCTCAGAGGGTCATCAAAGTGAGTAAGTCCTTTCAAAACACTGAGGTTCTAGTTCTCAAGTACCAGGAATAGTCAACAAATATTTAAATTCAATGTTATGGCTGGCCGTGGTGTAGGTGCTTATAGTTCCAAATGCTTGAAGACTGAGGCAGGAGATCTCCTGAGACCAGGAGTTTGAGGTCAACCTAGGCCACAAAGTTGGGCTCCATCTCAAAAACCTAAACAAGATAGAAATGCATTATTTTGAAAAGACACTAAATTAATAAGATAATAAATCTTCCTCTCCCTCCCTCATACAGGAAGCCTGCTGGACTTCTTGAAAAGTGAAGAAGGCAATAAGCAGCCCTTGCCAAAATTGATTGACTTCTCTGCCCAGGTGAGAGTTTGATGAGGCGGCTGGGGGACTGGGACCGGCATTCAGCTACTTATTTAAAACATGGTTATTGGCCACATACTATAATAATAGCAATAATTAAATGATAGCATTTATTGAGTACTCAGCATAAAACTGTATTTTTTGTATGTCTAGTCATCCCTTGGTTCCATGGGTACCAAAACCCCAGAGATGTTCAAGTCCCTTGTGTGAAATGGTGTCACATTTGCATGTACCCTACACCACCCTCCCATACACTTTATTCCATCTCTGGATGACTTATCATTCCTAACCCAATGTAAATGCCATGTAAATATCCAGTATTCACATTGTTATGGAATGATGATGAGAAGAAAGTCTGTACAGCTTTGGTTCAGATGCAATCATTGTTTGACTATTTGCGACCTAAGTCCGTGGATGGAGATTCCCCTATAGGAAGGACCCACCGCTCTTCACAGGCACTGACTTGTTTAACCCCTGTGTCAGCCTTCTAGAGTGGGACTTCACTACCTATGCCTGGGTAACAAATAACCCTAAACTTAGCAACGGGCAAAGACAACAAGGAGCATTTCCCACACTCCTGCAGGGTGGGAAATGCTGCACTTGGCTGGGTGAGCCACACGGTAATGGGAGGTGACTGGTGCATTCTGAGGTGCCGTTGCCTCCTCCCGGACCTTGCTCCATGTGGCTGTCATCCCTCAGTAGACAGCAGCTCATCTTACAGAACCATGTAGAGAGAGTCCTCTCTATGTGGTGAGTGCCGGTGGGAGTGCCAGGGAGTCAGGCCCTGGCATGCAAGTATTTAGCTTCTGCTGGCATCAGCCTTACTGATGTCCTGTTATTCAAGCAAGTCATGTGGCCAAGCCTGGCATCAATGTGGGAAGAGACAGCCCAGGCCATGAATCCAGGAAGGTGCGGCTCAGCAGTCTGGCCACAGGAAGCTAACTGCCATCTCATTTTCCCCAGAATAGGAAATGAAGGCATCATGAGGTTAAGTACAGATGAGGAAACTGAGCCCAGCCAAATAGCTTGGCTGAGCTGCTGTGCTAATTATGGGGAAGCAGCGATGAGTGAAATAGAGAGCCCTGAGTCCTCTTAAGCTTGCCATCCAGGTGGATGACAGTACTAAAGAGCTGGCCCCAGGAACTACCGTCACACAGGTGGCCCTGGCTCGGAATAAAGGAGCATGATATCCAGAAAGAAAATATTGAGTCACAGAAACACATCTTAAAAATCATAGCAGGCCTGGGGGTGTAGCTCGATGGTAGAGCACTTGCCCACCATGTGCGAGCCCCTGGGTTCTGTCCCACACACTACAAAAACCAGTTTTTCCCTCCCCTCCCTTCCACCCTGCAGCTCCTCTCACCCCAGCTTGAGTGCTTCCATTTCCTTTCCTGTGTCCTCTCCTCTGTGGGGAAGGACAGGGTGGCACAGGAGTGCAGAAGCAATGGGGGTGCCATGGCCCAGAGGCAATCGGAGAAGGCTTTCTGGGAGAAGTGGCCTTTAGGCTGAGCCTGGAAGGATGGGTAGTTCTGCAGACGGAGACAAGAGGGAAGGGTGTACTAGATGAAGACAAAACAGCCTGTGGAAGCCCAAAGGGGAAGCAAAGGAGCTAGACGGGTCAGCTGGAGCCTCGAGGTGACTTTGCAGCCTGGTAGAGGTTGAGGGAGGGCACAGCTGGGCCAAGGGCTGGGCCTACTGGAGCTGCCGGGGCAGAGCTTATTTGAGTATGCAAATCCCAGGGCTCAGAGGCCACAGACAAAGACTGACAAAGGGCTCTACCTTGAGAGTCTGGAAGGCTGGCAGTCTCATTCCAATGGGCCCCCTGGAAACAAGAGTCTACCCCATTGCGAAACTATAACCCTCTAACCAGCAGGAAGCTTGCTGGGCAGGGGTCAAGGGCTAAAGCAATTTCTACCCTCCCATTGCTTAGATGGGGAAACCAACCAAGGGAGGGAAAGAGGCTCTGTGCCTTTCAGCAGCATAGGTTGACCCCGAGCCTAGGGACAGAAAGGAACCTGCCTGAGGGCCTGCTCTTCACTCCAGTCCTCAAGAGGTGGTGTAGCATGAGGATGCCCCAGTCCCATCATCAACTTTCTCTTGACCTCAGACCTTCTCTGGGTCTCAGTCTCCCCATTTGTCCAATAAGGGAATCAGATCACAGCTGTAGTTTTCCAGTTGAAAATATTTTAACCACAACTCTGTTGGCCAAATGAAATTTTCTACAGTAGCTACATATATTTATATCTATATCTATATCATATATATATATATATCAAGCTGACATCATGGCACACATCTGTAATCTCAGCACTCTGGGAGGCTGAGGCAGGAGAACCTCAAGTTCTACCCTAGCCTGGCAACTTTGTGACTTTGTGACTTAGTGAGACTTTGTCTCAAAATAAAATATAACAAGGGCTGGAGATGTAGCCCAGTGTGAAGTTCCTGTGTTCAATCCTCAGTACCACAAAAGTCAATCAATCAAAGCTGAATTGTTCTGACTGTAGGAGGCAGAGTGGAGCTTCATACATGGCCTTCTTTTTGTCCTCCCAGACAGCGTGAGGGCATCAGTAGGACCCAATTTGAAAAGTCCTGGGCTGGGACATCTTCATAAATCCTTCCAGCTTGGATTCTAGGATTCTCTGATGCTCTAGGAAGCAAACCAAGTTCTAGAGCTTGCCCTCGTGGCAAGCTGCTTGGTGGTCACGAATTCACCACTTCATCAGCCTCCGTTTTTCAAGCCCACCCTGCACCCTGTAAACCTACCCATTACCTATTCCACAGACAGCGCCTGGATAAGCAGCACTCCGTAAGCTTGTAGGCTTAGGGTTTTGTGCTGCTCCCAGCTCTGCCTGTGGGGCTTAGAGCAAGGTGCCTAAACTGCAGCATGCCTTTCTCCCCATCTGGGCCTTGCTGGCCACCACCAGGGTAAGCACTGAAGGACAGACACTGTCCCAAGCCCTTGATGTGGCCTTGAGGATGCATCTTCATGTGACCCCTTGGAGACAGGGGCTATTGTTGTCCCCACTCTACAGAAAAGTGAAGCACAGAGCTTGGAGCTCAAGCAGAGCTGCTTCAGCTCCAGACCATTTACTTTTTATCCTCCAGTGCGTCCTAAGTGGGGCTGGTCATCCCTGCCCCACTGAGCTCATGAGAAAACCAGTACTAGGGCTGGGGATTTAGCTCAGTGGCAAAGCGCCTGCCTGGCAAGTGCAAGGTTGTGAGTTCGGTTCCCGGTACCGGAGAAAAACCAAAAAAAAAAAAAAAAAAAGAAAACCAGTACTAGAGGAGCGTGGACTGATGGGCATTAAAAAAGAGTGACTGTCAAGCATTAGTGTTGTCTCCATAAAAACACTAGGCAAGCTGGGCACAGTGGTGCAGGCCTATACACCCAGCTTCTCAGGAGGCTGAGGTAGGAGGATTGCAAGTTCAAGCCTGGCCTGGGCAACTTGTCTCAAAATAAAAAATAAAAAGGCTGAGGATGTGGTTCAGTAGCAGAGAGCCCCTGGGTTCAATCCCTGTATTGGAGAAAAAGACAAAAACAAACAAATAACAACAACAACAAACGCAGTAGAGTAATAGAAAATGTTGGTTCTGAGTAGACTGTGAAGTTACAGCTTACAAGCTATGCTTCTGTGGAACACTGACTTGTTTCTCTGGGTTGTAGTTTTTTCATCTATGGAAAGAGGGCTGATAGCAAAAATACCTGCCCCAAAACACACAATAAATGCTGTGTTTTAAGTATAATAATAAGTAAGCAATATTATCTAACAACACCCTAATAACTCTGCTAGTTGTTCTTGCTGCCTCGGGTGCCCCCTGCTGTTCACTCCAAATGCGCCACCTACTGGCCAAAGCCTGCTGGCAGTGCCTTGGTTTGGTTTGTCCAGACCCTTCTTACCCAGTCTGCCCAAATAATCTTATCAGATTGCACTCAGCTGCCACCCGCTAGAGCTCTGGCATTCTGGAAACTTTAGAGGCAGAGTGAGAAATTAGATCAGCAATCTATAACCAAGGTGTGAGGATGACAGAGTTTTCCTGGTATGTGATCAGAAATAGTATCTCCAATTCAGTAAAACAGAGGCCTTAGTAATTCCTCCTCTACACTTCCTGTCCTCTTACTTGGCCCTATCTGTTCTTTTTGGTACTTATCACCTCCTGCACTGGCTTTGCCTGGATCACTTCCTGCTCAAGGCACATGTCTGGCACCCACAGGATACTTCATAGATTTTTGTTGAACAAATAAATGAAAAAAAATTTTTTACCCAGGCTTGGGGATGAAGAAGGTATAAAAGGAAGAGCAGAATATGATGTACTCCTAGGTTGTCCCCCAAAAGGGACTGAGGATGAATTTTCTTCATAATGTTCTGATGCATGGTGTGTGTGTGTGTGTGTGTGTGTGTGTGTGTGTATGTGTGTGTGTGTGTATGTGTGTCTGTGTGTGTGTGTGTGTGTATGTGTGTGTGTGTGTGTGTGTGTGTGTTCATGTCCCCTGGAGAGGTAATCCCCTGCTTTTTCCTTAAGAACATTTCAGAGTGTCCTCTGGAAGTTTTGGAATTATGGAGAAACCCCTCCTGCCCCACTGAGCTAGGTCTGGAGGATTCCCTCAGCCTGGATAGATACACAGAAATGCCAGCCTGACCTCAGGACCCTTCTGACAAAAAGGAGCTGCTGCAGACATTTTCTATTTCTTTCCCGCTGGGTCACTCCTCCTCTGTTCTTGGGCGGGAACCCTGTGGGCCAGGCAGGTCTGAGGATGAGGGTGCCTCTGTTTTGGGTACAGGTTGCAGAAGGAATGGCCTTCATCGAGCAGAGGAACTACATTCACCGAGACCTCCGAGCTGCGAACATCTTGGTCTCCTCATCGCTGGTGTGTAAGATTGCTGACTTCGGCCTGGCCCGGGTCATTGAGGACAATGAGTACACAGCTCGAGAAGGTAGGAAGGGCTGCCCCGCAGGCCAACGTGTCCACTGCATGGGTTGTGAGTGCTGAGAGCAGACACGTGCAAGAGTGGTGAAGGCAAAGCTCTCTCCCAGTATCTCCTCTGCATTAGTAAGCTCAGTGGTGTCCTGGGCAGTGGCTTGGACTTGAATCTTACCCAGTGACTTTGAGCGGAAAATTTCAGGCCAGATTGAAAAGTACCTATCAATTTGAGATTTTGGTAAGTACATGTTGAAAGTAAGGGTAAGAGCAACTTTATGGCAAATAGATGAAAACTTGGGAGAAGCCAAATGCCTGTAAATAGGAGGATGAATAAAAATGCGGCACAGTCGCATAAGGAAATACCATGCAGCAGTGCAGAAGCACATAGCAATGCTGCATGCAAATCAGTGGGTAACTGTCACAGACACACTATCAGTGTGAAAAAAGTCAGACAAAAAGAACTCAGAACAGTTCTTTCATATGAAATTCTAAAACAGGCAAAACTTGTATATGAAAGCTCATCACAGCATTATTCATAATAGCCTAAAAATGGGCACAGCCCTAATTAATCCATCAACCGATGAATAGATAAACAAAATGTGGAATATCCACCCACACAAGGGAATACTGTTCAGCTGTAAAGCGGAAGGAAGTACTGGTGCCCACCACAGCATGGGTGAACCTCGGGAACATCATGTTAGGTGAAAGCCAAACGCAAAGCACATGTAAATTGTCCAGGGTGTGCAGAGCCATAGAGATAGGAAGTGGAGTAGTGGTTTCCAGAGCTGCAGGGAACTGTGGAGAAATGAGGTTTTTTGCTATGGGTTTTTTTGTGAGGGAGAGGTGGAAATATTCTAAAATTCATAACTTTGTGAATCTTCAAAAAGTCATCACAGTGTACCCTTTAAATGGGTGGATTTTGTAGTCTGTGAACTATATCTTGAATAAAGCTGTTAAAGAAAAAAGACATCACATCATTTGTAGCAGGAGAGGTCAGAAAAGTGGCTACCTGGAGCACTGGGAGGGACACTTCTGAGATGGTGGAAATGCTCTGATCTGATGGGATTACTAGAGTGTATGCTCACATAAAGATGCATTAAGTGGCACATTACAGATTTCTGCACTTTATTTTATGTTTGTTAAAACTCAATAAAAAATTTTAAACTGGGCCAGCCGTGGTAGTGCAGGCCTATAATCCCAGCGCTCTGGGAGGCTGAAGCAGGAGGATCAAAAGTTCAAGCCCAGCCCGGGCAACTTAATGACTTAGTGAGACCCTGTCACAAAATAAAAAAATAATAAAAATATAAACATGGTCTGGGGACACAGTTTAGTGCAAAGACCCTGGGTTCAAAATCCCCACTATCACCAAAAAAATGTTTAAATTGAGGATAAGTATTAAGAGAATAAAAGTAGAATTATGATTTCATGCAAGACAGAATAAGCAGGAAAAAAGAAAATACTGTAGATCCAAAAGAAGGAAAGGAAGATAAAGCAATACATATACACACAGAGCATTTCTAGTACTATGCCAGTCATAAAGCAGCTCTTGGAGAATTCCAAAGAACATACAGATGACCCCCCAACTTATGATGGTTCAACTTAGGATTTTTCAACTTTATGAAAGCAATCACATTGAATAGAACTTATATTTACAATTTTGAATTTTGATCTCCAGCCTGGTGATATGCATCCCTTTTTTTTTTTTTTTTTTTTTTGTGTGTGTGTGTGTGGTACCAGGAATCGAACTCACGACCTCATGCTTGCCAGGCAGGCGCTTGCACCAATGAACTATATCCCTGGCCCCAGCCTGGTGATATGCAGTGTGTTACTCTCTCGCTGGGTGGTAGCAGTATGCTGCGGCACCCCTAGCCACACAATCACAATACCTGACAATGTATTATGTGGCTAAGCTAGGATGTTTGGTAGGTTAGGTGAACACAAGGCCTTTTTCTTTTTCAGTATTGCAGATTGAACTCAGCGCCTCACACATGCTAGGCAAGCACTCTACCACTGAGTTACATCCCCAGTTGTTTTATTTTTTATTTTGAGACAGGCATAGGCTGGACTCAAGTTTGTGATCCACTTGCCTCAGCTTCCCAAGTAGTTGGAATTGCTAGTATACACCACTATGCTTAGTTTCAGTGCATTTTGATTTGTGGTATATTCTATTTATGATGGGTTTATCAGGATGTAATCCCATCATAAGTTGAGAAGCATCTGTAGATCCTACAGACCATGTTCACCAGTCATAATCTAATTAGGATAAATACTAATAAGAGGCTAACTAAACCTATCCTAGATTCAGTAGGAGAAGGAAGGAGACACTCAGTGACTGGTAGAAGCCTCAGCGGCTGGAATCACAGTCTTCCTTTCCCCCACTGCCAAGATAAAGTAACTGAGGCACTAGCTGGTACCCTTGAAGCCTTGCTACCCCCAAAGAGTCTGTGACCTCTAGGACTCCACTCCTCTAATTATAGTCCATGACTGAATCAATAAGGTGGTCCCCCGAGAGAGCTCCCATGCCACACCCCTTTGTGATCCCTCCATGCTTTAGCATCTGCCTACAGCATGGATGCCCCTTGCTTCCACTAGGAGGCCACGGAGTAGGGAAATCATGGTTCTGCCCTGTTCCTTCACCCTAGCAGAGAGCCCGCCCCACTGCTCCCCAGACTCCCTTCACCTTGCCCTGTCCACCCCACAGGGGCCAAGTTCCCCATCAAGTGGACAGCTCCTGAAGCCATCAACTTTGGCTCCTTCACCATCAAATCTGATGTCTGGTCGTTTGGCATCCTGCTGACAGAGATTGTCACCTACGGTCGGATCCCTTACCCAGGTAGGGAAAGGGCCTTCACCTTGGAGCTGCTTCTAGAACCCAGCCTGGCAATGGTCTATTTCAATGTGTTCAATGTGTTCATCAGACTGAGTTCTTGTCCCCCACCCCTTGACCTTCCTTGTACTTTCCCATTTCAGTTAACGGTACCATCATCCACCCACTTCCTTAAACCATCGTTCTGGGAGCCTCCTTGGTCCTTCTTTCTCTCTAACTCCTTACCACATCCAAGCAATCACAAAGCCTTTCAACTCCAAAACATTCTATGTCTGCCCATTTCTAACGCACAGTTTCCACCCACAAGCAGGCCAACAGCATCTTGCACAGGGATGGTGGGTGTTTTAGTTACTTTTTTCTTATTGCTGGGACAAAATACCTGACACCCAAATTAAAGAAGGAAAGGTTTGTTTAGCTCACAGTTTGTGGAGGTTTTGGTCTGTGATCTTCTGGCTCCAAGTCAGGGTGGCAGGACAGAGGGGGCAACAGTTAAAAATGGCAGAAGACAGCAAAAGCAACAAGAGCAAAAGGGAGGAGCAAGCCTCTTTTCCTCCCTTATATTGTATGCAGGCTACCTGCCCTCGGGCAGGTGTAGCATTCATACCCCCAATCTCAGCACTACATAATGAGCCAATCACAAACCTAGATTTAGCCACTTCCAAAAGCCCACAGCCCATAATTGCATGAGGCTTTGGGGGGACATCTGGACACAAATCATAACAATGTGATCTCCTAATCAGTGCCACTGTTTCCCCCTTTCTCTCCTGCAGGCCATTCTCCACCTGCAGCCAAGGGATGTTTTCTAATCTGTAACTCAGATCATGTCCCTTTTTCACTTCTCTTTATTTTGTCCCATTGTAATTAGGACACAATCCCCAAAACTCATATAGCTTGCAGATACTACATGATCTAGTCACTGCCTCCTTCTCCAGCTTGCTGCTGCCCCTTACCACCCAAATACCTAAAGTATCATGCATCTCCCCTGTGATACTCTTTCATAATACCCTATGCTCTTTCATTCATCACAAGTGATAGCTCTGTCTTTGTTTAATAATTTCCCCATCTGACTCTGAGCTTCAGAGGGCCAGAAATCATGTTTCTATTCCTTACTAGCAACTACCTTTGGGTTTGGTATACAGTGGGTGCTTAGCAACTCTTTGTTGAATGAATGAATATAACCCAGTGCCTATATTAGGCAGTGCCTACATTGAATAGACCATATAAGTATACAATGATGTACCCGGTACATGGATTATCTGGGACTTTGTGAACAATGAGGTTCTCTGTTCCTTTTATGTCTTGAATGGGTGTCCTTCCAGACACTAGAGAGGAGCAAGATGGGTATAAAGAGCCCTTGAGTTTTTATGTAAGCAGTGCTAGGGGCCCAGGGATATAGCTCAGTGGCACAGTGCCTACCTGCCAAGTGCGAGGCCGTGAATTCGGTTCCTGGTACCAGAAAAAAACAAAACAAAACAAAACAAAATGTTAGCAGTGCAAAATTGTAATCTTGTCTCTACCAGCTAATAAACTTTGAGAAATTCACTTTACTCCTTCTACCCCAGTGTCTTCACCTGTAAACAAACCTATATAGTCAACTATCTACCTCCCAAAGGTGTTTGTGAGGATTAGAACTAAAACATGTAGACACTGGGTTCATTCAACAGTATTTACAGAATTTTTACTGTGCATTAGGTACCAAGGATACCATGAGAGAAGTGGTCCCTACTCATAAGGAGACCTGGACAAGCACGCACTAAACGTATCACTACTAAGAAGAAAATTTAGCAGCGGGGGTGTGATAGGGAAGGGAGTAGCATGGGCTCCTACGGACAGGGGGCACCTGTTAGAGCAGGTCCTATATGAACTGAAAAACAGATCTAGAGAAAGGATCCTAGGCAGAAGGCATTGCTTGTTCATGGGAGCTCGGGTGTGTCTGAAGAACAGCAAGAAAGCCAGGTAGATGGAGATAAGAAACAAGAGCAGATGATAGGTGGGAAAGACCGTAGGGACTGCACAGGCAGGGGCCCCGGTCGTGATGCAAAGTGGGGGTGTTAGCCAAAGTGCATGAGAACCTATGGGAGGGATTGGGGTAGATTATGGGAAGAGGCATCCTGTGATTTCTGCCTTTCAGGAGTACTTTGGTTCAGTGTGGATGGGAGGAGGGGAGTGGGGTGGCTACCTGTGGGGCAGCCACAGAAGTGGCCCAAGCAGAGGTGATAATGGACTAGACAGTGAGGGGGCACTGGTGACAGAGATGAGTTGATAAAATAATACTGCCTTTCAAAAAAAAGGAAAGATGTGACTGGCTGATGGAGAAGGTGAGGGAGAGAGAAATCAGCGATGATTATCCTGGCTTTGAAAGAACAGTGAAAAGCCAAGAATTGTTTTAGCCCTGTTAAATTTGAGGTAGCATGTGGACATTCAAAGAAAGACGTTTAAGAAAGGTCTTGAATACATGAGTTTGGATTTCAAGGAGGATAGACTGGGGATGATAGGCACTAAATGATTATTCTTACGGATAACTAATATAAACTTAAACTGAATAAGAAAATGGCCCCATGTGTAGGGCAATTTTGGATCTGGCTACCTGTTTTGTCATGTGGGTACACTAGAAAAAAACAGGCAATGGATTATAGAACCCCAAATCCATTCAGATGCAAATAACAAAATAAGAACAGCCAAAACAATAGGCAAGTTACTATTTCCCACCCTAATTCTGGCATTGGTGGCTGGTTCAGAACAGCTACCAGGACTCTGGGTTAGTTTCTCTGTCATTATCTTCCCCATGTGTTCAGATGAGTGCTCCAAGTATTTTGTCATCTCACAATGGGAGATGAGGGAGGGAGGGAGGGGGAAGGGAAGGAGGGAGAGTGTCTTTCAAAGCCTCTCTTTTAGTCATGGGGCAAAACCTTTCCTGGTAATCTCCTAGCAGAACACTGCAGCTCCTCTTGGTCAAACCTGGGTCCCAGGCCAGGCTCTGGCTGCAAAGGAGGCTGCAAAGGGGGTGTCTGGCTTTCATACTGAAAGGGGCTCAACTCACAAGGTGACATGGGGAGTGATGGCAGTTGGTGAGGCCACAGTGTCTGCCAACTCTGGGCTCCTATTGCCCAATCCTCCCTTGTTAATTCCATGGCTTCTTCCCAGGAATGTCCAACCCAGAGGTGATCCGGGCACTGGAGCATGGGTACCGGATGCCTCGATCAGACCACTGCCCGGAGGAGCTCTACAACATCATGACACGCTGCTGGAAGAACCGCCCAGAGGAGCGGCCCACCTTCGAGTATATCCAGAGTGTGCTGGATGACTTCTACACAGCCACTGAGAGCCAGTACCAACAGCAGCCTTGATGGGCAGGACCAGGGCAGGACCAGAAGCCTAGGCAGTGCCTGTGAGGTGGCTCCAGCACAGTTCCCCACAGCCCTTTCACCCTTCCCATCCCCAGACACCCACTCTCAGTCTAGCCAGTGTCATCATCTGTCAAATGGATGGGTTCAACTGGACAATCCTTTTGGACTCTAACATTCCACAATCTGCCATTCTCAGGAGACCCCAAGTTGATATTTCTGTTGCCTAGAAGGGCTGAATTCCAGTTACATCTGCGGTTTAACTGGGGAATTTTTAAAGTAATGTAATAGATATTTAAATAAAATATAAGAATGCCAAAGGCTTTACCAAAAATTCAGCTTTTCTATCTTTCCAGTTCCCAAGTATTTATTTGCCTTTTTCTATCAGTATCAGAAAGGAAGAGGGACCTTCCCAGAGGCCAAGGTATGAAGAAAAGCAAGATTCAGTGCTCAAAGTTTTCTAACTGTCCTAAAATAGTTGCTGGCCGTGCTAGTTTCCTATTGCTGCTGTAACACATGACCACAAATGCAGTGGTTTTAAACCACACAAATTTATTCTTTTAAAGTTCCAGAACTCAAAATCTGCTATGACTTGGCAGGAATGTGTTATTTCTGGATGCTGTAAGGGAAGAATTGTTTTCTTGTCGTTCACAGCTCGTACAGACCACCTACACTCTTGGAGTCATGGTCCCCATCTGAGAGGGGGACCCCAAACACTATTTCTGTCATCATGCTTGTGATTCTGAGTCTCCTGCTTCTTTCTTTAATTTGTAAGCATTCCTGTAATTTTATTGGGCTCCCCCAGATAATCCAGAATAATGTTTCCATCTCAAAATCTTTAATTACATTTGCAAAGTCCTTTTTGCCATGTAGGATAACATTTGCAATTTCTGGGGGTTAGGACATGAATGTCTTTGAGGGCCATTATTGTGTCTGCCACACTGGTATACACTATGGGTTTTGTGTCCCAGGATCTGGGGCTATCAGGGTGCCAGAATGATTTTTCATGATCTAGGCCCCTGATCCTCCTGTCAGGGCATGCTACTACAAGAACTGGTGGGTCTAGAGCTCCCTCTGCAGTCCTGGCATTTCCCAAGGCTAAGAGCCAGCATGGTTAAAGTGGTATTGCAGGAATCCTCAGCATCTGGGGTTGTGGCTGAGAGATATCTGATGTGGGAAGCTATCAGTAGAGAGGAGGGACACCTGTTAGGAAGCAGAAGACACAAGAAGGCAGTGTTGCCTCAGCTGAAAGTTTCTGGCAGTCAGCTTTTGCTGTAGGGGGAAGATAAGAGGAAGTAGACAATGGATGGGGTACAATGACACTTTTCTATATTATTGCATCCTCAGAGGTCTGTGTTTCAGCACCCCTATTAAGGCTAAGTTCTGAAATGTTCCCTGAATGCTCATAGGTTGAGGGCTTGGTCCCTAATTTAGCAGTGTTCACAAGTAGGGCTTTGGGAAGGTAATTAGATCATGAAGATTTCAATCTCATGAATGGATTAATTCATTTCATGGATTCACAGCTTTAATGGTCTATTGGGAGGTGGTACAATAGAAAGGGGGCCTAGTTGCAGGAGTAAGTCATTAAGGATTTGTGAGGGATATAGGAATCCTGACCCCTTCCTTCCTCTCTGCTTCCTGGCCACCATGAGGTAAGCAGTTTCCTCTGCCATGTGTGTCTACCATGATGCTCTGCCTCCCACAGGCCAAAGCAACAGAGTCAAGGAACCATAGCCTGAAACCTCTGAAGCTGTGAGCCAAAATAAATCTTTCCTCTTTTTAAAGTGATTTCCTCAGGGTATTTTGTCACAGTGAGTAATATTAGCCCCCTAGGGTCACATGGAACCCAATATTTACTAAATTGATTCTGTACTTCTCAGTAGCACACAGGGTACTGGGCATAAAAACTGGAAATTTAAACTAGGAGTATTTTAACTTATATGTGTCTAGGAAACAAAATGTTTTTTCTGTCCTCATACCAAATCAACACAAAAGGTTTCTGTGACCTCAGGAGGTGTGGGGACTTTTAACTATCAGCAAGCAAGGAAGTATCTGCAAAATATTTACCTGATGAAGGATTGATGTCCAAAATACACAAAGAACTCTTAAAACTCAACAATCAGAAAACAATTCATTCTAAAAACAGGCAAAGTCCTGAATGCAAAGGCAACCACTGGAGATTAGTCTGCCCTC